ATGATCGTATTTTTTGTAAATTGTTTTTTTTTTTTTAATCCATATTATTCAAAGAGAAAACAAGAGAGATGATGATTCTGAGGCCACCCTATCTCAGCCATATTATTCACATATCGAGTCCCAACAGCAACAGTGTAAGGATGAGCATGAAATACTGTAAATTAAATGCTGAATGGCGGTTTATGCAGGGAAAGAACATATCAATATTCGCATATTCATTCAAAAACATGAAAATTCTTAATGGAATACTCTCATTTTTTATTGAATTCCTAAAAAAAAATATTTATAATGAATTTTAATAATTTTTTCGAATTTTTTTTAAGCTTTATTCTGACCGATTCACCCGATTCCCGATCCGAATCGCCGATCCGAATCGGTTTTTTAGAAACTCGATCCGGGTCACCGATCCGTTTTTTAAACCATTGCATGTATCAAAATAGATTCTTCTCTTCCCAGAACTGATTATCCATGTGGACGGCTGCATGTACTGATGAACCTATATTGCACAAGGCAGGTGAGATGTGGAATTCTATGAATGAGAAAGTACAACCTAACTTACACAGCAAAAAAAAAAAATATAATCACCTATAATCCTATTTTCGAGGAGGTGGTCATGGAAATAATACATGATAGAAGGGAATAAACAAATGTTACATTCAATGCGTGGTTCAGACTTTCATCCTTGAAGCTGTTGAGGATGACCATTTAAGACATCTATGACCGTTTTTTTTCCTACACATTTTAAAGTGAGACCTCTTTTTTATCATCAAATATAAAGTTATTTTGAGATGTGGTAACATAGTTCTAAATTCATTTATTAAGATGTATGGGGGCGGTATTTTGATGCCTGATGAGTAATAAGCGTCACACACACACGCACCTTTGAAGGGCTTGGAATCAAACCCAACTGTTGGTGACATTGAAGTGAAATGCTTCGAGTTTGTTCTGGTCGTTTTGTTGTCCTATGCTTGTTGATGTAACGTAAGGTTAGCCACCCTCTAATCTTTCAATTACAAGACCTTTAAATATGTTTGGAGAAGCACTTTGTTAAACTAAGGCTAATTATCTACAAAATCAGCTGGTGTCATCCATAAAAATCAATGTGCACTGGGGAGATTAGATTTTGGTCTAAGAAGAGTAAGGACCTTAAAATTTTCCTTAACCCGTCTACACATGGTCTTTATTGATCTAGAGAAAGCTTATGATAGAGTATATTGAGATTTGATTTGATGGGTATTAGAAAAAAAAAGAGTCTTTAGACATTACATCGACCTAGTGAAAGATATATATGATGGAGTGCTAACTAGTGTACGAACAACTAGTTGAGAGATGAGTAGTCTTCAGTGACAGTAGGTCTACATCAAGGTTCAACATTGAGCCTATACCTCTTTGTCTTAGTTATAGACGACTTAACTACGCACATACAAGATGAGGTACCATGGTACATGTTGTTCGTAGATGATATAGTTATGATTGATCAGCCTCGAAATGGCATCAACACAAAGAACCTTGGAGGAATGCTCTTGAATCTAAAGGTCTTAAAATTAGCCGGACAAAAACAAAGTATATCGAATGCAAGTTTAGTAATAATAAGAGTAGAAGGCAATGAAGCAGTTATGATTGATGCCCCTGAAATACCAAAAAGATTGCACTTTTGACATCTTGGATTGATAAATCAGGAAAATAGAAAGATTGAGGAAGGTGTCGCACATAGAATTAGAGCTGGGTGGATGAAGTGGAGATGTACAACCATAATTTTATGTGATCGTTGCATATCAATGAAGCTGAAGGGCAAGTTCTATAGGATAACTATTAGACCAGCTTTGCTTTATGAGGTGGAATACTGGGCGGCCAAAAAACAATGTACTCATAGAATAAGTTTAGCAGAGATGAGGATATTGAGATGGATGAGTGATATGGTTAGGAGGAATTGAATTTGAAGTGAATACATTCTAGAAAATTTAGGTGTGGCACCAATAGGCGATAAAATGAGACATAGTAGACTTAGGTGGGCTAGCTCTGTATGGTGCAGACCCAGTACAATACCTGTTAGGTGGTGCGAGTTAGATCAAGTAGAATGCTAAAAAAAAATAAGGGGTAGGCCCAAAAGGATATGGTTGGAAGTAGTGAGAAAAGATGTGGAGACTTATGGCCTCACTGAGGGTATGACCCTTAATAGAATAGAATGGCGGATCGAGATTCATGTAGCCGATCGTAATTAGCGAGAAAAAAGGTTTGACGATGATGATGATAATGTGTGGGAGATGAGATTTCAAACCTATGATAGATTGAAATATGTCCTTAAACAAATCAGCCAAACAAAACTGATCAAGTTTAAAACTAGTGACTCAAAGAGAAGAAGCTGGTGTAGAATAATTTTAAATTGATTTCAAAAGGTATCTATACTAGTTCCAGGGTTTTGAAGTTAATGGGGTGTATGAAACTTAGTGTTTTGATTTTAATTGCAAAATTAAGCAAGGGATTCATTTAGGGTTAATTTTGGGGAAAACTTAAGAGTTAATTTTAAGGTCGTTGTGGATTTAAAATGGGAATATTTACTGGTTTTGACAGCTAGAAAAAGAGAAAAAAAATAGAGAAAATTGATTACGAAGTAAGAATATTGAGGAGTTCAAAGAATGAATAGAAGTAAAGAATATTGATTACGAAGTAAGAATATTGAGGAAAGAAGTAAAGAAAAGAAAAAGAAAGGAAAAGAAAAAAAGAAAGAAAAGAGAAAAAATGGTAAAAAAAAAAAGAAAAATAAGGGAAAGAAAAGGAGTAGAAGAGAGAAGAAATTGAATAGTGCTTTGGAAACGAGGGTCATTGAGGGGTGCTACCACTCGAATGGTTCAAGAAGCCCTTCCTAGGTTCTTTTTTGTTTTTTGTTTTCCCTCAAAGTTCTCAAAATAAAACATTATAAGGGGTTAAACATTCTCCCCTCTCTCTCTCTCTCTCCTTTTATACATGTTTTACTTTAAAAAATGACCTGAAATACCTGTAACAAAAATAAAATAATAATAAAATAATAAAATAACCAAATTATCCCTGAATTCTCTATAACACCTAAAAGACATAAATACCCTAAACTCATGACTGATAGTTCTGTTGAGTGCTATGGGATGTGTTTTAGCTAGGTGTATGCCATAGGGCAGATAGATGTGAGGTATGTACTAATTTGATGGCGATCTCATGTGTATGTAGGAAACAACCTAAAGGCTTTAGATATCTTATTTTTTCTGGTGTCTTATATAAATCAAGGAGGGTATTTATGATCTTGAGAAGTTATCCAGTGGATAAGCATGTACAGAAGTTACCTTGAATGGCTGTTATTAGTATTGAATTGTTGACTAATTTCTTGTTCATCTTGTGCGTGTCTTGTGGTGCAGAATTTATCATTCCGGAATCTGATATTCTTAAGACCTATGAGAGAAAGAAGTTTGCTATTTGTCAATAACTAATAAATTTATTATCCTTGAGTTTTAAGATTTAGAGAGTGGCCTCTAGCTTGAAGAGATATTGGTTCATTATATATGTGAATTGGTGTGGGGATTAGATAATTTCAACTACCATTCATTTGTAACAGAGTTCTGATTGCAGTTCCTTCTGACTTGTCCCTTGCTAATTTCTTTTTTTTTTTCAAGAGAAAATTGATTGAAGCCTCTAAAAATGTGGTGCACTTTTCCTTCATAAAGAACTGTTTAGAAACCTTCCATTGTTCAGGTGTTAATATCCCATCATCTTAAGCATGCAACTGTGTTCAAGGAGGAAATTCACTTTGGAGAACTTTTATTAGAAATTTTGCAATTAACCATAAATTACATCCATCTCTTTTTAATAATTTGGCAAATCCCCATCGTTCCTACCAATCTTCCAATAAAAAAAAAAGGGGACACAAAGGAGTTGCCCTTTCACTTACCCAAAAAAAAAAAAGGGGGTATTTGGTTGATGCATGCATGCTTGATAATCTCATCTCAGAAATATAAGGCGGTGTAAAGGAGTTGGTTCCATGTATCCGGCAGGCCGGGAAGGCACCAGTGGCTACAATCTCGGGCACTCATTAAGCCGTAGATAGAAGGGTGTGCGTCCTTCCTCAACTGTGAGAGTGTGGTTATGTCGAGGAGGTATGCTGGTTTTGTCATGCTCTTGATCACATTCTTGATCACACCGAGCTGGTCTGGCAAGCTCCCTGGGTATGTCGAACCCGATAATGGCTGTGTTTGCCCGTAGCAATCTTTGTACCGGCCATCATGCCATTCGTTTGCACTTGAAAGACAAAAAGAGAGACTAAGTCATTTTTGAAAGCAAAGACAGTAGATTTAGCCTTGGTTTTTTTGTTTATCCTCTTTTTCTTTAGTAGTTTAGAGGTATGAATCGAATTTTCCAATCTTGAAAACTAAACACTCAAGGCCAAACATAACTACTAAATTAGCTTTGGGTTACCGGTTGCATAATAGCTAGAAGTGAGTACTGTAGCACTTTCTTGTTTGATAAGAGGAACATTTTATAGTAAAGTGAATACCCTGCTTTATGTTTAAAGTTAAAAAGTGGATACCACGAGTTCCATAGAGAACTTTAGAACTAGGGTCGTCCCTTTTTATGAAAGATACCATTTAAAAACTACATCTTTCAAAAATTAAATACCCCCTAAGGGACAAGGTGTACTGTTCATTTCGAAGAGAGCACTTAAAAAGTCGTATTGTATGCTCCACCGCTAGGCCCACCATTTCGATGGAAGTGAAAAGCACCTGGTGGAATGTGTCATGGGATTATGAATACGTTATGGTGTACTGTGTACATTAGCCATGGTTTTTTCCTTATTTGTGTGCTGAGTGGTGGGGACCTTCCTAACGTTTGTGGTTGTCATTAACAAAAGGTTGGATCCTCATGTTCTCTTTTAAGCAAGGCACTCATGATGTAAGTTCCTAGAATCCACTCTCGTTCCCTTTTCCACCGAATAATGAATTATTCTTCACAAAATTAAAATAGGAAAAGTTAAACTACCAAGAAAAGTTAATACTTTTTTTTGGGAGACTGTAATCTAAAATGGGGTTCACAACACAATTATAGGACAAACAACCGAAAACGTTTTCAATATTTTGGTCTCGTTGAAAGTTGTTCAGTTTACAAAATATAGAAATCTCTAATTTGGAAAAATAAAAATAAATTTCAAATTTCCTTCCATATATTGAACTTTGTTAGAACTCCATGATTTTTTGAAAGACTGAAATCTGGTTTCAAAAACAATCCAACTTCCATTTCATCTCGAAGATCAGATACCTGTAATGTGTAGGAGATATTCCTTGAAAGTAGACTTTGGTTCTCATGGGCATAACGTTGGAGTCCACCCAATTAGCCCAAGTCTTCATGCCTTGATAAAAAGCTGTGGTGCGATCCATGTCTTTGTATACTTTGTTCCCCACTCTAATGTAATCCCACCTGCAAAAACCATAAAATTATTAAAAGAAAATATATATAATAAAATCATTTACTTTTGATATAAGAAGGTCACGATTATTATTTATTGGTGGATGTAAAATCGAGTGGTTGGGAATGTATTGGCACAAAATCCAAGATAAAATTTATTCAACAATGTAACACACTTCAATCTTATTAAAAATTCCATCTTCCCCTCGAAAAAAAAAAAAGCCAAAGAATTTCTACCGGTGTTTCACAACCCGTGATCTAGATCAAGAATAGCCAATCCAAATATGGAGTGAACCGCTTCTAGGATGGTTCTAGTAACGTCTCAAGTCTCCTAAAATTCATCGTCAACCCCCAAAAACGCAAAATAAACAATCACAAAAAACCCATACGTTAAAATTTTGACTTATAACATTTTCTCATATTGCCCATTTGGACCGATCCGCCGATCGTGAAAGTTTAGACCATGATCAGCAGAAAGGTAAAAAAGCTATGGTCACGACTCATTTGGACATCACAACCAATTGACTGATGGAGGGCAGGACCTGCCACTTAGAACATATCATGTTCTCTATCAGCTAGCAATTTCCATTTCCATAGCCATAAATAAATTAATTCACCATAACTTTTCTACTCTTAAGGGGCTGGGGTCGTGGTGGTAACACCCCACACCATAGTCAACGTTGTGGTTTACATTCTCACCACTAAAACCATCCTATTAATATATTAAAAAAGTTGACTCCTATTTGAAAAACCAGATAGGAGGCTATCTTCCCCGCTATATTATTAAAAAAAAATAATATATTTTTATTTTATTTATTTATTTATGTTTCTCACCCTGAGGATTTTCCATAGTGAGTCCACCAATGGCCAGAATTGAAAACCAAAATATCAGCCCCAGCCCACGCCTTCCCATTTTGGATCGAGTCGAGTCTCAATGCTCGACCTCCAGGCTCGCCCACTATGTCCACCAGGTACGGAGCACGGAAGTACGAGACTTTTACTCCGTAGCCCTGTGCAAAACATTGACTATTATATAAGAAAGAATTAAGTAGTATAGTAATATTCTCATTTACTGGATGGTGCGGTGAACTTCAATCCATAGTCTTTTTTATTTGAAAGAAAAATCAATTTTATAAAATAGAGAAATTTATCAAAATAAACCTAGTTTATCAACTATCTGTCATATTACCCATTTTTAACTATTCAACTCAAGTTTCTTTTTGAAATTAAATAAAAAGGCTCAAACTGTAAATAGTTCATCTATTGAGTGGATTTTCATAAATTTCCCAACGAATGGTATTTCATTTGTTTTAATCGTGAGTGGGTACTGGTAAAGCCAGCCAGCTGCAATAATAGGGACACCAGCCCCGAATTATTGCCGAATAATGGCGAACTTGTGGGGGATTATTTAGTCCTGACTTTTATATTTATATCTAATTATAAAACTTAATACACCGAAAATAGGGCAGATCTGACGGATTTGTAGATTTTTTTTTTTTTTTTTTTTTGAGTAATTCAGCTGGAATGCATGTCCCTATGCATTTTCTTTTTTTAAATCTTTTGCGGTTTTTGAAGGATTTAGATGAGAATAGAAGCCTTAGATTTTAGCTAGGCTTCCCGTGGTACTACCACGGCAACCTCAATCCTATTTTCTAAATCTGAAAACACTTGAAAATGAACGGTTTAGATAATGAGTTATAAGATGCTTTATGATAAAAAATTTATTATTTTTATAGTTATGACTATTGCGGTTGAGATCATCAATTCAAAGGGTTTTTGACTCAAGAATTACATTTTCCAGCAGGATTTTGAGGCGCAGCTCTACTTTTTATCTTAAAGGCTCAGCCTGAAAGTCCAGACCTCGATTGATCCTCTTTTGCGCATGCACAAAATGCCTTTTCTCGTGAAAGGCATTGTGGTCGTGGTAGTAGAACTACTAGACTTTAGTCACCCCATTGTGGTTTTCATTCCGATTAATACCACCCCACTAATATCTTAAAAAACTAACTTCTGATCTATTTGAAAAACATCGAGGCGGGGACTGTCTTCCGCACTGAATTACCCAAAAAAAAATGAAAAAAATTCCCTCTCTCTCTAATGCGAAACTGGCCTCTCTTATAGAATGTCATGAATGACTTGATGATACTATTCACACTACACTCAACACCAATATTATTTTAAGACGAGATGGTGAGGGTGGACCACTTTTCAAATTAATGGTCTGAATTAACACATCTATGAACTTTATACCCGACAGTGAATTTAAATTTAAATTATTTGAGCAAATCGAAGGTGGAGGTATACACCAAACAACCAGGAACATATGAATTTCATCTAAAAAGTAAGCTATATGAATTCAAAAAAAAGGTCGTTCGGTTGTTAACATTAAAAAAAAGGCGTAGAGAAAAAGCAGAGGGACAAACGCACCAAGAAAATGAAAGAGGAAAGTGGGTCGCTCATAACCAAGCTGGTTCGCACCCTTGGCGCCCCTGCTTGAACCATGCATATCAGAGATTGCCATTGATTAAGACCCAAAGAGTCCCCAACAAACATGATTTCTTTCCCCTTCATCTTCAGCAAAAAGTACAGAGCATTGAACCTGCACTAACGCTAAAAGTCAGAATCCACCCACCCCACAAAAAAGAAATTTTAGAGCAAAACCAGAAAGAGAGGACATTCTACCTGGGTAAATTGCACCCATTTGGTTGCCATCTATACTTGAGGTAGAGCTTATCAGGCCTACCATGCTTTAAACAGTCGAATTCTAGGTCGATGAAGGAGCAACTGGAAGAATCATAGAAAGGATAAGATTCATCTAGGACCCAACTCCCGGCAAATAAATTGCAGGTCGTGCCGAGTCTATCTAAGCTGTAAAATGACTCGTTGCCTAAGAAATTCTTCGAATTCACGCCCTCAAACACTTCAGCGTCGGCTTCTTCAAGTGCCATGCTCATAGGAGAGAAAATAATGGCAAAGATAAGCGGTAGTCTTGAACCCATTCGAAGGGGCTATATGGAAACAAGAGAGTTGAATTTAATGAGAGAGAGGATTCAAAGGAAGGAGATTTTTCCTGGTTTGGAGAGAGAAAAGAGTTGAATTTGATGAGAAAGAGGATTCAAAGGAAGGAGATTTTTCCTGGGTTGGAGAGAGAAAAGAAGAGAGAGATCACATGTGCAGGAGGGAGAGAGTTTAATGTCTCCTCTCTGATTCTGCCGTTCTGAATCTGAAAAGGCTGAGGCTTTTAACTTTTTATATGAGAAAATGGGTTTCTTTGAGAAATGTGGAGAGGGTTCTTCTTCTTCTAATATGCAAAACAAAGAGTAGAGAGTAGAATAATGGGCACTGCCCCTTTGTCTTATAGCGAGGAATGCGCCCACCTTTGTTTTTGTTCGTTATCGGGGGTAAAAGTGAGTGGGATTTGACTCTATTTTACCTTTGGTAGGTCACAATTACTTATCACTTACAACCATCCCATGTGAAGGTTGATAGATTGGATGTATTAGAAACTGTATTTCCTCGGACTCCATGCTTTAGAAATTGTAGTTTTGTATATTTGAGCGTTAAGGCTCTCTCTTTTTTTTTTTAATCAAGAATATATAAATCTCTGTATAAATATATAGCCAGTTAAAAATAAATACCCATGGTTATAGATAAATACCACCTAATCTTATTATGATGATTATGGATAGACACCACCTAATCTTATCAAAAGATATGAATTTATACAAATGCATATCCATACTAATCTTATCAAGAGATATGTATTTATACAGATGCATATGCATATCCATATTGATATGTATTAGTATCATATATATTCATACGTTATCAAGAGATATGGTATCATATGATATGGAATCGTATGGATATGGACCATATTATATTGGGCCTTTCAATACAATCAAATAGATTGTCACAAGGGCTCCATATTCTAGGAGCCCAAATGATATGAAATCGTATGGATATGGATCATATTGTATTGGGCCTTTCAGTACAATCAAATAGATTGTCACAAGGGCTCCATATTCTAGAAGCCCAAACTATGTGATTGAATAAATCCTCTTCTATCTGTTGCAGGTCGAGGGTTCATTCTCCTTCCTCTTTTTTAAACTCCGATTCGTATTTTTCATATAGAAATCTTTGATCAACGATAGAATAAAATAATGGATTCCTTGGTTCGGACCGAAGAAGCAATGTCACTCGATTACTATCAAACTGACTGCACAAAAATGGAGCTATGGATTCTTGCACAACTAATTTCTTGTTCCGGCTTCAATGGTTCCATCATGGCTTTCAATGAGGGCTCCTTCAACAAAAAACAAGAATACTTTATTATATTTTCTTTTTGAAATCTTAGGTTTCTTTCATCCCCTCTTCATCAAATACCCCTGAAGGGCTCCTTTAGCAAAAAAAAAAGAATACTTTATTATATTTTCTTTTTGAAATCTTAGGTTCTTTCATCCCCTCTTTCTTCAAATACCCTTGAGGACACATCAGAACTAAAATTTTCATTATTCTTATTCCATATGTACATGTCTTAGTTCGACAAATGATCCATTCCTATACAATAATCACATCAATATGGATATGCATTTGTATAGATACATATATCTTGATAATGTATGGATATGGATATGTATCACACTGATACATATCATATCTCTCCATAACCTATGGATATAGATATGTATCACATTAATACATATCAGTACATATCATCTCTCTCCATAACCTATGGATATGAATATATATCATACTAATACATATCAGTATGGATATGCATTTGTATAGATACATATCTCTTGATAAAATTAGGTGTTGTCCATCCATAACCATTGGTATTTATTTTAAATTGTTAATAATCGCATATTTATACGGAGTCTTTTATATTCTTAATTAAAAAAATAAAGAGAGAGTTCTTTGCAGTATTATGAAATAATATGCCATGGTGCCTTTCTAACAGGGTGTGTCATGAAATTAAAAAATTTCTTTTGAAGTTTAAACTTAGTCAATGGAATAATTACAGCCACCCAATTTCATAGCCAATTGTCAAAATGTTTTATCTTGTACCAAAGGTAAATGATCTCATTCTATATTTTCCGTAAATTGAAAACGTTTGAAGTAAAGTTGAAAATGCTATTTAGTATTCTTCCTATTCAAAGAACCTTTTTCTTGTCACAAAAATATCTTTTGACGTCTCTAGATTATGGACCCGTTTAGGGACATCGATTTTGGGCATGAATTTTTAATATCTTGGGCATGAATTTTTAATATATTGAAAAATACTAAAATTTACCAATTGATCTCCTTAATTGCTAGGATATTTTGAGCATGAATTTTTAATATCTTATATGTTAATAAAATCCATCATTTGGTTTGCCCAATCGCTAGGATGTCAAAACTTCATCGAAATTAAATCTTAGAAAATCACCTAAATTTTTTATGATTTTATTTTCATACTATAACCTGCTTTTTTTGAATTTCAAGGCCAATGGATTCCACTCGTCCGCCCCTCAACCTGCAACTAAGGGCATTTTTGTAGATATGAAAATATTTGCATGAAAGTATTTTTATTTGAAAAATACGTTATGTGAACAAATACGAAAAACTATGCCAAATTTTAGGGAGAGAAAGTACATAAATTCTTCTAAGGGTATAAACAATGAAAGTAAGACCACCTTCAAATAGTGTCAAAAGACGTTTAAGTACTAGAAATATTCGTGATGACCTGAAAATTTCCTTATATCTTTAATTATAAAATTTGAAGTTTAAAAAATAACGTAGATCGAGCAGATCCATGAACACTTGAAAATATTGAAAATTGATGGTCCAAAAAATGCATTATATGATACTCTATTTCTAAGATGAGAAATTTGCTTTTCTCAAATCTATACATCTTGAAGTTGAGATGATTGATATGAGGATTTTGGGCATCGAAACCACCTTTTCTAGTGAATTTTTGAGGTGCGCCATAATTTTTTTTTTTTCAATTTTTAAAGAGAGAAATTATCTCAAAATTGTTAGAGAGAGAAACTATATCAAAGTTTAAGTTTTAGAGAGAAAAAGTATATTAAAATTTTAGAGAGAGAAATGTATCCATTTTTAAAAAGAGAAGCTATTTGAAAATTTTTGGAGAGATAAACTATCTCATATTTAAAGTTTTAGAGTGAGAAAGTCTATTAAAATTTAGAGAAAAGCTATATTACATTTTAGAGAGACAGTACCTGAAAGTTTGAGAGAGAGAAACTATAGTTTGAGAGAGAGAAACTATCTCAAATTTTTAGAGTGAGAAACTATCTCAAATTTAAAGTTTAAGAGAGAGTGAGAGCATTTTAAAATTTTAGAGAGTGAAACTGTATCAAATTTTAGAGAAAGAACCTAAAATGTTTTAGAGAGAGAAACTATCTCAAAATGTTTAGAGAGAGAAACTATCCCAAATCTTAAGTTTTAGAGGTAGAAAATATCTAAAATTTTTAGAGAGATAAATTACATTCAATTTTAAAGGAGAAATTGCTTGAAAATTTTTAGAGAGAGAAATGTCTCAATTTTTAGAGAGAAAAATTATCTTAAATTTTATGCTTTAGAGAGAGAAAGTATCTTAAATTTTTTAGATATAGAAACTATATCAAATTTTAAATAGAGAAACTACTTGAAGTTTTTTAGAGAGAAACTATCTCAAATTTTAAGTTTTTGAGAGAGAAAATATCTTAAAATTGTTAGAGAGAGTAATTATATCAAATTTTAGATAGAGAAAGTTCTTAAAATTTTTTAAAGAGAGAAACTATCTCAAATGTTTTGAGAGAAGCTTCTCAAATTTTAAGTTTTAGAGAGAGAGTATCTTAAAATTTTAGAGAGAGAAACTTTATTAAATTTTATTGAGAAAAAACTACCTAAAATTTTTAGAGAGAGAAATTATCTCAAAATTTAAATATTAGAGAGAAAGTATATTAAAATTTTAGAGAGAAACCATACCAAATCTTAGAAAGAAAGTATCACAAAATATTTAGAGAGAAACCATCCCAAGTTTTGAGTTTTGGAGAGAGAAAGTATATTAATTTTTTAGAGAGAGAAACTATTCAATTTTTGTTAGCAAATATTGGACATGGAAATAATTGTAAGGAATCAATGAATTCTGTATTTTATAATTGGAAATCTATAGATTTTTTTGGATTTTAAATATCCAAAATTACTAATTTCCTCCTATCCAAACATGGCCATAGAAAACTAGAGCATTGGCTAGAAAATGTGGCTGGTTAGGTTGGGCCTCGATAGGGCCAATTGGATCCGGCCAAACTAGGCTGTTTAGGTTGGGCCTCAATAGGGCCAATTGTATCCGGCCAAACTAGGCCCTTTGTACAGTCTGAGTTGGGCAAAGTTTGGGGAGCCGCTAAAGGGACCCTAGTCTTACATGGGCCATGGATGAATCGGCCTAGGCCCTTTGTCATCCCTAGTACTTAAATCCCACAATGCTCATGGTGTGTGTGTGTGTATCTATATATATATATATATATATATATATATATATAGTAAAAGTTAATTATAGAGCAGATGCTACTAAAC